ACACATGTAAAATTATGTAACAGTTTAGAATTTTGTACGAACTAAATTCATGCTATTTGAATTTTAATTATTTTAAAAAATTATTAAAAATAATCAAACATATTATAAACTGAAAATTAAAAATATCTCATTGTCAATTGTTAATGATTTTCTATCATTGCTAAAAAATGGAATACAACATTTTATCCATGATAATTTTTATGAGTAATATACAGAAGTCAACCCTCAAATAAAAATAAAATGTTATGCGTTATACATTTTCTATAACATGAGTATTAATCTTGTTGTGATCAATTGCACCAAATAGATTTTATTCTATTAGTTAAGCAACTGAAATGATTACAGTTTGAGCTTCTATGTTGCATAGCGACGAATGTCGAGTCAATGATGGGAAAAATGGTTGATTATCAATTTTGACTGTCAAATGTCTTATAGTTATAGGTCAAATTTGTCCAATAATTTCAAAAGTAGGTCATAAATGTCTTATTTGAAAATTGGGGCCAGAACTGTCACTTATGCTAAACTTCGAACCAAACTAGGGTATTAATCCTTAGTTTTATTTTAATGTAATTAGTAACTTAAAAATGTTAAAAATGAAAAATAATAATATAGAAAATAAATGACAAAAACTTTCTCCACGAGGTCATGAAAATGGAGATCAATCTGAAGGAGCACAACACGAAAAGAACCGCAGTGCATAAAGTACAGATAACCTATATGCCTAGCAACAGGCTCTCTCGCTACTGGACAGATTGAAAGCGAGTAGCGACTAACAATCAGAGCATGGTGAAGACACATATATAAGCCTCTAAGTAGACGCTTTCTTTTAGTGAACTGTTCGTTTACTTTGCATGCCTAGCCTCACTTCCCTATCTAACCTACCATCTCTACGAAAGATTAACTGGCAAGGCTCAAGCCCCATAAAGAGATATTTGCATCGCATCATTTACAGGTGTCTGACAGTAATCAGATGCTCGATGGAAGCTTGTAATCAAGCATGTCCCGTATGTTCAATTTGATGGAAGGACCCATTGATGAGCATATGTGAGCACTCTTCCAGTACACTCCTTTCGCACCCGACGGCTTGTTTGCTTCTACAGATTTCTGGCAAAAAGATGGTTGACGTAGAGATTAGTCAACCCCTCAAAAAGAACCCATGAGAAGAAGAAGAAGAAAAAATTGCATGGAAGGGGGGGGGGGGGGGGGGGAAATGCGGATGAGATCATGGGACGTACAATAGCAGAAAGCAAGTTAACGAGGAGGTCGTCTTCGGAGAAATCTGCTTTTCCAAATGGTATGTGAACAATCCCAGTTTTATCTGCTCGATATTCCACTTTCCCTTTCTTGAATTCAGCTATTGCCTGAATAAATTCCAGCATATAAGGTCACTAGGTACCCAGTGGCCAGTCGACGATGACGAGCAGATATCTAGGGTTCATCCAATTATTCTTTTATTATATTACCTTTTGTACAAGTTAGAGAAGAACATCAAATGGGTTGGACACAGTTCAGAACCTAAGGACAAGCATACTAAGTGGATCTCGAAGTTTACCTGGGGTATGTTGGTGCTGACAGTACCAGCTTTTGGGTTTGGCATGAGTCCTCTAGGTCCCAGGATCCTACCAAGGCTAGCAACCTGATGCAAGTAGTAGTGGTGATAAGGAACAAGACAAGATAACACGACATACAGTGAACTGAGGGAATAGCCTAGATTTAAACAACATCAAGTAAACTATATTCATCCTCGAATACATAACCTTAGGCATCATATCTGGAGATGCTATCAATTTGTCAAATTCCATAAATCCTCCTTTGATTTGTTCTATCAAATCTTCCCCACCAACTAAATCCGCTCCTGCATTTTTTGCTTCATCGAACTTCTCACCTGCAGACAGTTTAAGTTACACGTGATATATGAGCTCCACAAAAACAAATTGCTTTAAACACTAATCACTTCATCTGGGGTATGGAGGTCGATGTGGGGATATGGCACCAAGACCTGCTAACACAATGTACTTGAAAGTGTCCAGACTAATCTTCCGTTACCTCAAATAGCCAACTAGATACCATAAAGCAACTCAAGACTTTGATAGCCAAGTCAAGAAGTAAAATTGAAATACCTCATGATAACTCAGTCCACAACATCACAGGCAAATGCATAGAGCACTACTGTCAAGTGTCAATAATATGGTATTGATTAACAAAACTGATTCGATTGTTGACCATTCTCTCCTTCACAGTCCAATCCAATAGTTCCTAGGAACCTCCGATAAAGACAAATCCCGCTTATAACACAACGTTAAGTTTCAGATTAATTCATAGAGCTGAGTGGAATACCAACCTTGTGTAAGAACAGCAACTTTCACAGGCTGTCCAGTTCCTTTAGGCAAGTTTACCTGCACAGGAAGAGGAACAGTGGAGTTATAAGCTGAACCAATATTTACTCATTCTATAAGTCTGAGATCAAATAACTGTATCCAGAGGCAATAAAGCTTACTGTTGCCCTTAGCTGTTGATCATTGTATTTTGGATCAATGTTGAGCCGAAAATGTGCTTCAGCTGTTTCTACAAATTTTGTTTTCGTCATTTGCTTCAGCAAAGATACTGCTGTTTTCACATCATACTCCTGTTTATTCTCCCTCAGTTTCTGAATTTCCAAGAACCTTTTAGACCTCGTCTGCAGTTTCCAACAAAAGGGTGTCATGTCACATACTGAAAGCAAAGAAAAGAAGAACAAAAATAAAAGACACCAACCCGCAACCATTACCAAGTACCAACTGGATCAAACAACGAATTTCAAGCAGTTTTGACAGCAACGTGTTCTAACCCCAACAATCTAACACTCTGATAAAACAAACAGCAGTGAAGTGGGAAACCAGTCCTACACAGAGACAACATCCATGTACTCAATTCACTTAACCCAATTATATAACAAAACCAGAGAGTAACTCCAGCTGAAGATCACAACTCAAATTCCACCAAACTCCAAGAATTTCCAAACTTCATGGACGAGTCTTTTGGCATAGGGACAAAGATTTGCAGACGAAATATCAGGGTATACGGGATCCTACTCTGTCTCTCTTCAAAGGCAATGCAGCCTTTCCTGTCTTGGGCTTCGCAGGAGCCACAGTGGGAATTGGCACACCACCAGTTCCCTCTCCCGCCACCTCAGCCTCTGCCCCCGCTCCTTCAGCCACCTCCGCCTCCGCGGCCACAGCGGCCACAACTAGTCGGAGACCTCCGAATTTGGCCTCTCTGCGAGCATCGAAATTGACCCGTTTGCCTGATTTTCTCCTCCCAACGGCACAAGAACTCAAAGCCAAGGGGCAGAAACAAGGAGCTTTGGGCTTGAACCAGATAAGGGACTGAGTGAGGTCTTGTGGGTGCGTGGCGGAGGCGGCGTAAGGTAACATCAGAGATGATGTTGGCGTGCTACATGCTGTAGCCATTTCCTATTTCTTGTGAAGGGTTTTGCTCTATCCTGTCTGTGCTGTCTTTCTTTTCTTCCGCGGATTAAAAGCACTCAACTTTGCAGATTGGGGAGGGAGAAAGAGTTTCTTTTCTGGATTGATATCTACGGGAGTCTATCCATAAGAACTTCGAAATGGAGATAAGAGTTCACTCTTAGGGCCTATGGATAGATCATAGATGACAGATCCAATATTAAGTTAACAATAATAAAAAGAAGGGTAAATACAATATATTAGCCACAACTATTAAGAAGCGGAAATTATAGTTATCATTATACAAATATAAATTATTAGTCACAACTATAATAGCAAATCAAAATATGGCTAACAATCTGTTAATGTCATTAGTTTGTAACGAAGACAGTCACGTCACCCACCACATCAGATGACTTTTGATTAATACTTTTAAAACAAAAATAAAAACCTAAATTGGAGGGTCATCGTTCTTCTTCCCTGCTTTCTCTCATTTCCTTCTCCCCTTCATCTTCTTCCTCTGCAAAGCCACGAAGGGAAAAAAATCCTTCATTGTCCTCAAGCTCTGACCCTCTCTGGATCCTCCACTTTTTGCAGCACAGCACCGACAGTCGTGGCGAAACTTGAACCTCGCGACCGCCGCTCTCACTGAATCTTGCCAGTGATGATGATTGAAACGGAGAAGAGAGAGATAGTCGCTGCTTCTCCTCAATTACGCATTGCAAGCCGTCCCCAGGAGATGATTTCAATGGTCTTATATTCATTGGAGGATAAGACCCAAAAGCCTCAACCTGATGGACTCGCTGGATTCGAAAGACGACTTGGGGATCTGGGTTATTCCTTCCCTTGTTCGCCTTTGTGAAGGACACCACGGTCGCCGACATTGCATCCCTCGAAACCTATGCATGGCGGATGGTAAGCTAGGTTTGGAATTGGGTTTGAAATTAGTAGCGGAGGGGGTTTGGGAGAATCTCCCAGTCGAACGACCAGCTCGAGTCGAAGCGGGGAGCCGCCGACGTGAAGACCCACCCGTTCTTCAAGGGTTTAAACTTTGCGCTTGGGGTAGTGGTGCCCAGGGGCAAAGGCAGTGCCTTGATAGGGTGTTTCAGTGCACACCCTTGAATTGGAACAATAACAAGATTAAGGTATATTAGTTTAATTACAATAACAAACCTATTCTTATTACTAGTATTTCTAATAGCAAACTACAATTAATATCATACATTTAAATTATCTTTAATCATAGATTAAAACAAATCAAAACTACATGCGAAAAACACAATCTTTAAATCTTCAATTGTTATAGCTCCAATGTGTTACGACTCTCATTCTCTTATAATACCACTATGCCAATTTATTAGGTTAGTGTCTAATTACCCTCAAACAAGGTTGCAAAGTCGCTCGCCTCTACCATCCCATTCCAACCGTCGGTCCTCGGCTATACATGATTACTTGACCGACTTTAACGACACAAATTTGAATGGTTACTAGTACTTGGTAGGATATATTGACAATAAGTCATTGGTAGTTTATATGAATAATATATATTTAAAAGTTTTATTCGAGTATAAAAGACGTTGAGTCAGTGCAAATAATCAATAATTTTTCATATAAGATATATTTACTTTTAAAAAAATTGCACCCCTTACATAAAATCCTGGCTACCCCCACTGTGGTGTCGGATTCGCGAGTTAGTAGATTTTGTAAGCGGCGATTCGGCGATGGAGGATGGATCTCAAGTTGTACCCTCCCTATTTCTCGAAATCCCGGTGAAGGTTTTTGATGTCGGTCAAGAATTGAGAAAGTTTGAAGAGATTTGGGTCGGATGAGAGAAGGGTAGTGGCGCCGGATTCTGTTTCTAGCTTCAAGACCGTTGCGATGGAAACGAGGTTTGAGAAAAGGGAGAAAATCGTTGCGCCGGATTCTGTTTCTAGCCAGATCCCTAGCAGCTCCTCTGAGCGAGTGGAGAAGCGAAGAAATTATTGTTTGTTTTTAGTTTTTTAATAATTAGTTAATAAATAGGTTAAGTTTGATTGCCACATCAACATACCATCTGTCAACTCACCATCATCTAACAGAAGTGTTAACAGAGATTTAATGGTTGGCAAATTTTTTGTATTTCGATAGTTGTGACTATAATTCCCGTTGCTTAATAGTTCTTGCTAATATATTGTATTTACCCTAAAAATAAATTCAAATACAAAACTAGCAAGGGGTCTTCAAATGGTTACCATGATCATTATCAAACCAAATAAGCCTAAATTCTATTAAACATGAAATAAAATATAATAATCAACCGACCAAACTAATACAACAACCAAATTAACAAAACTAAAGTTTAATCGGTTTGATTAATTGGTTAACCGAATTAACCAATATAAGGTAACACTATTATTACATGAGAAAAAATCTTCTATTAATGCATCAATACATAATTTATATAATCGATTAAACATAACAATCAGCATATGTTAACTCTTAACATCAATACATGCACCTAACAAAATTATTTTAGAGTCATTAGAAATAGCCACCTAGCAATAACATATGCTAAGAATATGAGGTGAATGAATTGAGTGTGTTTGTGTGAATTGTCTTAGTCTTTTAGAATTATCAGAGGATAAAAAAACTTTCCCTTTCAACTTTTCATCAAACATTATGTACGAGATTTATCTAGTTAGGTGTCATATACTGTTGTCTACAATCTATAAGAACAAATATATTTATGAACAATAATGAGTTTTATTTTGTTGATGGGTCCAAAAGGAAGGAACGATTGACTATTAAATGGTTATGCAAAGTATTAAGTATGAGTATATACTACGTTAAATATATGACTAATTGGTTAATTGATTTCATTGGTTAGAAGGGTTGAATATATGAGTCTAAACCAAACAAGCTAAAGAGTTGAACCAAACCAAACCAATTATCCAAATTAATCAAACCATATTATCCGAATACAATCGTTAAACTGGTTATCATAGTAACCACACCGTTTGAACGCCCCTAAAATTAGCCTAGGGAAAAAGACAATTAAACTATGCTGCTCACATAGTAATTTGTGAGTAACGAGTATATACTCACAGTCTCACACAACAGGATGACTATCTACGTCGGGCGAGTCGCTATACGAGGGTGGGGGAAGAATGGTGTGGGCATATGAGGGGAGGAGAGTATCGCACCGGCTTGGCGTTAGGGGTGGCTATACGGTCCGGTCCGGTTAAATTGGCCCAAATTGATCCGGTCCAGTCCGGGTTTTTTGAGAATATAAGGACCGAAGATTGGATTGGATACAGTCCGGTCTTGATCCGGTCCGGTCTTGACCCGGTCCGGTCCCAATTCGGTCTTGATTTTATATTGAGATTGTGGGAATTTGAGTGGCCTAAGGCCTAAAAGGGTGAGGAGTTAGTTAAGTTTTGTACTAAGTGCAAAGGTTTGTGACCGTTTATGCAAATTACCCTTAAGTTTTGGGTGTTGAGCTCTCTTATCCGGTCTTTATCCGGTTTTTTTACCTCAAATCTAAGCCCAAAGATTGGATTGGATTGTTTACTATCCGGTCCCGGTCCGGTCTCGGTCCGGGTTATACGGTCCGGTTTCCGGTTTTTCATCCGGTCCCGGTCCAAATAGCCAGCCCTACTTGGCGTGGCCAATCCTCACTGTCGAGAATAGCAGGCCCACCCAATTTCAAAATTCACCCACTTTTCCTTTTTAGGATTCTTCTTCTCTTCCAATTACTTTCTCGCATTTTATTTCCACCAAAAACACCCAACCTTCCCTTTCCCGAACTTTTTCCAGAAATACCACTGTTTAAAAATAAATTCCAAAAATACCATTCAACTCCAAAAAATTCCAAAAATACCACCCTTTTTCAAAAACCGCCACCCCACCCTGCGGTTTACACGAAAACCGCTGGGCTAAGGGGCGGTTATAAAAACCTAATAAAACCGCTGGGTGGGGCGGCGGTTTTGGGCCAAACCGCCACCCCACCCGGCGGTTTGGTCCAATTTTTTTTTTATTTTTTATTTTCGATCAACTCCTAACTTCGGCCGAAACTTCAAACGAACGTAAATTTGCACTTGGGTATCCAATCGTAGCGATTTTTTTGAATTCGAATAACTTTTCGAGATCTACAACTTTTACTAGGATGAAATTTTCAAAACAGGAATTAGTTGTGGATATACGGGACTTTGGGAATAACTTTACCTTTACTTTTCACAAATCCATGTACATTTCGAATATATGATTATCTTAAAAGTTGTAGATCTTGAAAAGTTATGCGGAATCAAAAAAAAATTCATGACGTTCGGATTTTGGAGCACAAAGTTAAGGCCGCCCAAAGTTTGACGAAATAAAAAAAAGGCCCGTTCGGGGTAGCAAAGTTTGTAGCTTGCAAGATCCCGAAAAGTTATTCGGATTAAAAAAAAATCACTACGATCGGATACCCGAGTGCAAAGTTACGTTCGTTTGAAGTTTCGGGGTTAAGAGTTGATCGGAAAAAAAAAAATTTGGACCAAACCACTGGGTGGGGTGGCGGTTTGGCCCAAAACCGCCGCCCCACCCAACGGTTTTTATAACCTCCCCTTAGCCCAGCGGTTTGCATAGAAAACTGCGCCCCCGCCCAGTGGTTTTCGTGTAAACCGCAGGGTAGGGTGGCGGTTTTTGAAAAAGGTGGTATTTTTTGGAATTTTTTGGGGTTGGGTGGTATTTTTGAATTTTTTTTTAAACAGTGGTACTTTTGGATTTTTTCCCTCTTTCCCTCTACTCGCCTTGGTCAAGATCAAACAAAGATTACTCATAGTAAAGCAAGAGATTCACATGAATAGACATCAATTAGACATAGATATATATATGTTCACAATCATTCTTACACATGACCATAACAATCTACAAGTTACGATTCATCTTCCTAAACAAATAGAGAAGCTAAAACATAGAGAGAGTAAGAGTGTTCAAATGGGAAGAAGATGACAAATTCATGGCTAGGTTCTTCTCTCCTTCTTGCTTTGATCACCCTTCTTGAATCTTGGGAGGTTTTATGCTTAAGATGAAGAAGAAATCACCCAAAACCTCTCCAAGCTCGTCACTCTCACTCTACATCTTCTCATACTCTATTTTTTCTCTCTAGGATGCCCCCTTTGCTCTAAACAACTCCCTTCTATTTATGGACCCGCATAGGTCAAAATTTGAGGCCTAGAGTTCGTGGTCGTGAACTTTGACAGGAGGTCGTGAACTCTTGGGAAGGGGAAGATCTCATCCTCGACCCAAGAATTTTCGGTCTAGATCTTTTCTTCTCCAGGTTGTGAACTCATGGGGGAAGTTCGCAGCCTTGAACAAAAGTTTGTACCCCGCGATCTATTAGTCTCGCCCGTGAACTTTTCTTATGGTCCAATTCATCGTGGTCGCATGGCGGTTTGCGAGACCTTTTGTACTCATCGTGGAAACCCTCTCGGAGTTCGAATGCATGGGGAGAAGTTCCCGGCGGTGATCTTGTGCCCCCAAGCCGTTAAGTTTGGCAGGCCTTGCTTTCCACCTTCTTTTCGCCCCTCAAACGACCTCCGATTGACACAAAACTTGACGTGCCTCTTCCTTATCAAACTAGGATAAGGAATTAAGAAGAAAACACAACCTATATAAGTAAAGGATGATAATGAAAAAAATTCATACCGAATAGCTAAGTAATGAAAGAAACATGCTAAATCTTGGGATTTTGACAATAGGAATCAATTATAGCACGAAATCGATCTCAACTAGCCAAGAATGATGATTATTGCATGAAAACACCTATTAATTAAGGGCAACATAGCACCAATTTTAGGTGTTATCAAGATTCGTAAACTTGCTTGAACTTCCTCTCGAGTTATCCAGTCTCACCTAGGATGGACTATATGTAGGGAGATTTTTGACATCCGACAAAATAGAGCACCAAGCACATGCAATTTGGACTCCCAAATAATGATCCAATATGACATTGAAGTCTAATATCACGCTCGATCCACAATGAAGAATTGAGAAATTGCTCTAATTAACCTAATTGGATATTCTCTACCTTTTGTTAATAGCAATAATTGGAGAGTTTGATTAATATCAAACCAATTCCATGAAATACATCAATTTTATATATAATCAAGAGTTTAAACAAGCAAAGGAATCATCCAACCATCAAATTTAACATACATAGCTAGAGTTCTATAACACCCAAGTGAGATTGGGTAGCTCCATAGCGAGAGAAAGAGAGACTAACACAAATTAAAGAAGAGAAATCATCCTTGGGGAATGAGTTCTTCCCCTTGATCTTCAATCTCAACCCTTGATGATGACCTGCAATAGTGGATTGAACAACGCCATCTTGAATTATACTTGGCTCAAGATGGGTTAGTTAATCCAAGTTGTGCAAATGAATTAATAACATGCACGGGGTTACACCAGCCACATCATCACCATGATCGACTTAGACTTCAAAGTCGATCTCAACATCTGCACCAGACATAACGCCTCTCAACTCATGCTTGATGACACCCTAACCCGCATGGGAGTGTTACGAGTGGAGGGGCACATCCGTTGCATTGCTAGTCTCCACTCAGGGGGCCTCATCAACCTCCACATCCTAGAGACGAGGAGCCACTTTTTCACCCTTCCTCAGATGTAGCTGATCCTTCCTCCTCCTTTATTGATATAGGCTCCCACCTTGGAGGGCCAGTACGGGCATTTTGAGAAAACCTTTGACTGGGAGAGGGAATTTAGACGCCACTCTCACTTTATTGAGGAGCATTTGATAACCTTTTATGGTCTAGACCCCTCTGCCTCAGGTTGGCAGCGCTCCCAGACGTCGACATGATGGGGGGTGGGGGGCAGTAGTTCGTTATCTTGAGTACTACTCCTCTACTCTCCTTCTTCCATTGACTCATGTGTTTGAACTATGTGTGTGTGGTTTGCTATCTTTTCTTTTGTTTTGAACTTAGACTTTGAATAATGATATTTTGTTGTGTAATAATCACCCTAGTGAGTGTGTTTGTGTTTGTCTCTTGCCATTATTCTTTCTACTGATACTTGTCCCATCTCCAGTCCAACTCATCACTTGTTGTGTTCTATAACTTTGTTCCATCCCTATCTTTCCTCTATTAAGGACAATCTCGTGTTTTAGTGCGAGGACGTGTTTGAATGTATGCTTGTGAATGGCATGTGATTAAGTGCGAGTGAATGAATGCTTGGCCTACCTCTTGAGTGTGCGGAGTCTTGATTTTTGCCCAAATTCTCAAATTTGAAGGCTCCAAGCACACGTGGATGAATGAGTGATTTTTGGCCTAAATTGAGAGTGTTTGGAACCAAGATTATATGCCCAAATTTTCAAGTTTGAGGGTTCCAAACACATTTTCCCGTGCATGATTCCTACTCATTGTGTTTTAACTTGTTGGATACTGTAATGGTGTGCATTCTAGGGAGGGAAGTCGGTACATGAGAAATTTTGCCTCCGCTTCCTCTTTGGTTTGTTGACACTGGTGAGTATTGAGGAAATGACATATGTGTTGGACTCTCTCCGCTTTTTGGACTCGAAAAGTTACAAAAGGTGCTCCGGATTTGAATGTGCTTTAAATGAAAAAAAACTAAGTGTCTCACGTGTTGTGGCAACCCGACAAAGTGTTTAGCAAATCTGTCAAATGGTTTATCTATAACTGGTGTGCGCTTTGAAGATCTGTTGGGAGAAATTCGGATAGTTTTCTAGTATCCAACCTTCATCTACTACCTTCCATCTTTCCTTAAACACCTCTCCTCTTCACGTGACTTGATTGAGAATAGACGTTCTTCTGCTTTAGTTGAGAGACCTCCGTTCTGGATTATCTGACATGTGAGGCAACCCATCGTTAACTTAGGTCAGTCGCCATAGATCGTGTTTAGGGATGGGAGTGCATTTTTGGGAAAAGGTTTTTGTGTGAAGTGAGTTTTCAGGATCTCCTTGTATCCTACCCACTCCTCCTACTTTCCATCAATAACTTTATATATAATTATTTAGAGATGATGTAGATGAGTTTTTCTTTAAATCTACATGAATTTTTTTGGTATTTCATTTTACATTCCTCCATACTTTGTTTCAAAGATTATATAATTAAAAGCACAAGCACTTTTCATTGCCCATCAAGAAAAATTATACTATTTTCTCTCTCCGTTGTACTGTTTACAATGGAATTTTATTCATACAATCAATTCTATGATAAGTCTTTTTTCTCCAAATTCTACTATAAGTTTTTTCTCTCCATAATAATAGGAAAAATATTGATTTATTCCTTTATTATTAACTAAAATTATATGATTGTTAATTAAAATATTTAGCATATCATCAATTCACATTATGCAAATGTTTCGCAAGATTAGTTAACTTTGATATAACAGTTTAATCATATGTTACTTTCTAAATTTTAATTTTTTATTAATCAAAATTTTATTATTTTTAATAAACTATTTAACACGTCATCAATTCGCATTATGCAAAGGTTCTGCAAGGTTAGTTCATTTTGACATAATAGTTTAATCATATGTTAGTTTCTAAAACTTTAACTTTATTATTAGACCATATAATTAAAAGCACAAGACATTTTCACTATTCATTAGGAAAAAATAAATTATTTCATCTTTCCGTGATAACAACTAATTCTACTATACGGTACAACTAGTTATATAGTAAATCCTTTGTCATCCCTATTATCGCGAGAAACCGAAAAATTAGTAGTTTTAATTTTAGAACGAGGAAGAAAAATAAAAATGGAAACAAAAGGTAGAAATGGGGTCCACTCCAGCAAGCGTAAGCAATCACTGACCGACCGAGCTCTCTCCTCTCCTCAACGGCACACCTCATTCTTCTTCAAATCTCCGCCACCAAAAAAATAAGATTTTTTCTTACCATGATCTTGTAAATTTGACCAGGAGAAGCAATGGCAATGGCGGCATTCTCCTCCCACATCCCCACCCGCTCCTTCCATTTCCATACCCCCACTTACCACTCCCATCATCACCAACCCATCACCCGCCGTGTCTCCACTACTCCCGCCACTCCCAGTTCGAAGCTCTACGCTTCCAATCTCTCCCGGAGAAAACTTTCTTTCTACCCATTTCTAACTCCCTTCCTTTTCTCGTCCCCTGCTCGTGGCGGTGGCATTGGAAGCGGCGGCCGTGGTGGAGGAGGAGATGGTTCTGGCGGCGGGGGAGGCGGTGATGACGCTGGATCCCGGAACCAGGCCGAGTCTCTTCTCGCATTGGCTGAGGTATCTAAAAAAAAGGCTTTCTGAAACTTATAGTTTGTATGAGAAGAGGGTTGTGATTTTTTTTTTCTGAAGCGAATTTGCTTGGCTGAGATGTTAGGCGGATAGGACGCTGGAGAGCTTGCCCAAGGACCTGGCTGCTGCAATTGAGGCAGGGAGGGTGCCGGGGGCTATTGTCCGAAGGTTCTTTGAGCTTGAGAAGTCGCCAATCCTCCGGTGGTTGCTTCAGTTTGGAGGATTCAAGGAACGTCTGCTTGCTGATGACTTGTTCTTGGCAAAGGTTGCAATGGAGTGTGGCGTTGGTATCTTTACCAAGGTTGGTTTCTGTTTGCAATTTGCCTTCTGAACCTAGTTTGGTGCCGTTGTTAGATTGATTGGGTATTGTTCAGGTTAAGTTCTTCACTTGCTATTTCTATAGAACTATAGATGGAGGGTGCTCCTGTGGGTAACAGCTTTCCTTCTGATAATGTTATTGGCCCTGGCTGGAAATGTTGGTTTTCCCATTTGGTTAGTTCAGCAATCCTGCCTTTGTTGTTGGTTGATAACCTGTTGTGGTCTGTGGCACTCAGCATAAGTAGAATTGGAAATGCTTGAATTTGGTTAAGGGAGAGAAATTTCACGATGTATTACTTTGATTGGCTTAGAACAGTTGGGAGGAGGCACAAAAACAGTGTTCCTGGACTCATGTGATTGTCGTTAGAAATGGTGAAACAAATTAGGATATGAGTCTAGTACAAACTCGGTCCTGGTACATACAGTGAGATTTTTCATTTCTGGTCATTTGGAGTCTACTACTGTGTACTTGCTATGATGGTGAAGAATGAATTCCAGGAGCTTTATCTGAGTTGTTTTGTTGAAACTTTGGAACACTAACCACGCAGTAGTTGCTTTAGAAGTGTAGAGGGCTTTATTTTCCGCATGATCAAGTCAAATGGCATAGTTCTCCCGTTGCATATCTTCCGACTGATGAATCTTGACCTCTCAGACAGCTGCAGAGCTGGAAAAACGTAGAGAAAATTTCAGCAAGGAACTGGATTTTGTCTTCGCCGATGTGGTATGTTTATGCTAGCTGTTTTATTGGCTGCTCTGTATTCTCCTACATCCATGAATTCTTTTTGAACTCTGATGCAGTTCGTTTTCTTGCCTTGTTAGGTAATGGCCATCATAGCAGATTTTATGCTTGTGTGGCTTCCTGCACCAACTGTTGCTCTACGTCCTCCCCTGGCAGTTAGTGCTGGAGCGATTTCCACGTTCTTCTACAGCTGTCCTGACAATGCCTTTCAGGTAAATTGTTTTTTTTTTTTTACAAATGAGTTTAAGTAGTGTTCGAAATTTCGAATAAACAAAATGATACTCCTCAATGTTGCCTGCAGGTGGCTTTAGCTGGTACATCGTATTCACTTGTGCAGAGATTAGGTGCAATTGTGGTATGTTCATTGCTTGGATTAGCTGAGACCCTAGTGTCTTTGTGGGATGGAAGACTTTGTACTTCTCATTCTGCAATGGAGAAATTATTGTTGTTCTTTTGTTTTGCAGCGGAATGGAGCGAAGCTCTTTCTGGTTGGGACTAGTGCATCTCTGGTACACGCTCATGCTAATTCTTCGCACGAACTGAGAAGCTTCTGTTGTTCCAGTCTCTATGTGAATTTTGCAGGGGGGGGAAATAGAAAAGCGACTCAAACTTCATTTTGTATGCTATTTGGCTGACAGTGAGAGTATATCCTTCTTTGCTTCAGATTGGTGTAGGTGTAACAAACACATTGATCAATCTCCGGAAAGCGGTGGACAAGTCTTTCGCTGGTGAAGCAGAGGACATGCCAATCCTATCAACTAGTGCTGCCTACGGTGTCTATATGTCCGTCTCTAGCAACTTGAGGTACTCTTTCTATATCTCCGATACGACCAGCTTCAAGCATTTCGGGCTGTGAACACGTTATTCGCGTAATCGTTCCTTTGACCGTTCCTGCTGCAGGTACCAAGTTCTAGCGGGGGTTATAGAACAGCGAATCCTGGAGCCTTTGCTGCATGAACAGAAGGTGTTACTGAGTGCAATCTGCTTCGTGTTTCGAACCGGAAACACATTCTTGGGATCATTAATGTAAGTTTGCAAGTCAAGTACCATTTGGTTGTCATATCTTCAGACATTTCCTATACTGTTGGTCTGAAACAAATGATTACCGTTTCTGGCTTATGCGATTAACAGGTGGGTTGATTATGCTCGATGGATCGGGATACAAAGACAACGTAAATGAAGCCTAGGTTGATCGTTATGCGGCGATATTTATTTGTTACGGATTTCATTTTGGAACTGTTTTTAGCAGTTGAAAATTACGTGCCGGAACCCTCTGATCGATGGGCTTTTGTTGTTTTCCTGCGGAAATTGTAAAGTCAAGCGCATGACTGACTTGTGATAAATTTCACCACTTGTATCACCGGCTACTATGATCCTACGATTATGATAAATTTCTGTCACTTCCTAGATCATGGTATAATCTTTTTTACTATCATGGTATATTATGGTATAATCTTTTTATTTCAAAATATATCAAAGTGTTATAGAGTATTATGAATCCTACTTTTCTACACCATAATGGTATATATCATGATATACTATGGTAAAAAAAATCTTAACAAATATACTTAATTATTTTAAAATATTTCAAAGTGTATGCTATGTTTTAGAATATAATTAATCTGACTTTCTATGGAATTTTTTTTTAAACCGTTATAAGAAAAATAAGATGTTTTGCTAAATTTTAATGAAGAAATAATTATGCAGCTACTAGTTATTGACATATATGCTCCCTTGCAACCAACTAACTAAACTAGGTTGGGCGCATAACTAGGAATGGCAATGAGGTAGGTCCGGGCGGGTATTTCGATATCCATACCCGTCCCATTGCAAGTCGGGTTCAGGGCGAGTAATTTATAATGGGGCGTGGGTCGGGGCAGGTTGATCTAGTGGGTATGTAATTTATGCGACAAACATTAGAAATATTTGTTATTTTCATTAAAAGACCAAGAAAGAAACCATAGTATGATTAAATGTAGTTAAATTATTGGAGAAATTGAGGTTTTCACTTATTTACAACTTTATTATAGCTAAAATATGATATAATAAGAGGAAAATTCTAAGTAATTTGACTAAGATTACATGTAATTTAGGCAATAATGAGTTGAGAATGGGGCGGGTCAGGGCAGGTCGGTCGATGAGAGGTACACATGATACAATCTTGTGTACGACCAAACATTACCATCATAATATAGACTGGTAATATATGTTACAAATGTTTTTCTTCTAAAAATGTAAAAAAGTGGTTGTCATTTTGAAAATAATTATTAATAATTTTCTCACACAAATAGTTTGGAATGCCGACTAAAAATAAAAGAGATATAGCCCATCAAATTAGATTGGGAAAAAATTATGAGTTGTCATCTCATTATTAAGTGATAATTATAGAACACTGATTATTAATGAACTCCGCACAAACATTTGCATAATTAGATCTTGGCCTTTGGTTTTAAGTGGAGCCAGAAGGGCTTAGATCTAAGAGATGAGATTAAAGAGTTTTCTAAATCGAATTTTATCTTCTTCGTTATCATTAGAATTTCAAAAGATTTGTACAGATGGAACGCGTTTGTTGTGATTGAAAAAATGAGATTCATTTTCAATATATTTCGAGAAAAGAATTCCATACCACTCGTTACCACATAGTATCACATTCGTTTTTCACTAGAATTTTGAAAAAAATTTACACAGAAGGAACCAGTTCATTGTGCTCTATTGGATCTACAAAATTACTGAGGGAAAAATCAAGACCAAAATAAATGCAGTTATTATATTTCAAAAACTCATAAATTCCGAAGATTTCTTCTGTTCATAAAGAAAGGGAGCGAAAGATTTCTTCCCATCTATATCTTCTGCATTAATTAAACATTGGTTGTTGTCTAATTACCCAATAAGCGTTATCTATCCAAGGCTAATTGTAATGACAATGGTAGGTTTAGGTGTCAACCCCATGATTGCATCTGCAAGCAAATACTATATATATTATCATCTCATCTCATGGGCACAGACATAAGCATTCAGCAAGATTTAAATTATATATATATGCAACAAAGCATGGGGAAGAAAGTCCACGTGGCAATATTCTCCTCCCCCGGGATGGGCCACATCATCCCACTGGTCGAGTTCTCCAGAAAACTGGTCCTCCTCCACCCCCACGAGTGCACCGCCACCATCATCATCCCCTCGCTGGGCCCGCCGCCGGAAGCCCAGGCCCAACTCCTCCAAACCCTCCCGCCAGCTGTCTCCCACGTGCTCCTCCCGCCCGTGGACCCCACCGACCTGGCCCACGTCTCCACCGACGCCAAGCTCTTCCTCACCGTCGATCGCTCCATCCCGCACCTCCGCGGCGCCATCGCCGCCCTCGCCCGCAGATTCCCGCTGGCGGCCCTCGTCGCCGACATATTCGGCACCGACGCGTTCGACGTCGCCAGAGAATTCAACCTCGCGGCCTACTTTGCGGTTCCCTCCAACGCGCTGACGCTTGCGCTCTGCAGCTACATGCCCAAGCTGGACGCCGAGGTTTCCGGCGACTACCGCCAGCTGGCCGAGCCGATCCGGCTACCCGGGTGCCGGTTTGCGTTCCCCGTCGGAGACCTGCATCCCTCGATTTTGGACCGGAAGAGCGACGCGTACGAGCGGATCCTTCGCCACGCCAAACGGCAGCGTTTGGCGGACGGGTTTATAGTCAACACCTTTATGGAAGTTGAGGGCGAGATTATAGAGGCTTTGAGGGGGGAAGAGTTCGCCAATGGAAGGCCCATCTTCCCTATTGGGCCCATCATTCAATCCACTATTACTGACGATGGAAGGTAAATAGTAGGTAGTTAATTTTGCCTAAAATTAAGAGGTCGTTTGCTTCAAAGATTTGCATCATGGATTTGTTACAAAAAAAACCAACCATTATGGATTTACACACAATCCGTTGTTTGCTTTGTCAAAAAATATTTGATAAATCTGTGGCCCCCACGAATTTGGGTTTTTTTTTGCTCCAAATCCATGGGCCCCACGATTTTATAAATCTCACCTCATACCATGAGATTTGGAGACAAACTGAAAAACCATCAAATCCATGATAAAAATAACTCAACAAACAAAGGATTTCCTCAAATCCATAATGCACAAAATCTCTAATAAATCCCAAGATTTTTAATTAGCAAATCTATGACAAAACTCTCGTTATAAAATCCAGGGCAACAAGACAAAACGAATGTTTGGAATGGCTAGACAGTCAACCACCAGCTTCTGTGCTGTTCGTTTCATTTGGGAGCGGCGGAACTCTATCACAGGAGCAATTGACTGAACTGGCGTTGGGCTTGGAGATGAGCCATCAACAATTTCTGTGGGTAGTAAGAAGCCCAAATACCACCAGAGACACAAACGCCTCCTACATCGGCCCACAGAGCAATTCCAACCCATTTGATTACTTGCCGGAAGGGTTTCTAGGCAGGACTAAAGGACGAGCCTTATTGGTGCCATCGTGGGCCCCACAGATTCAAGTTCTCAGTCATAGAGCAACCGGTGGGTTCTTAAATCACTGTGGTTGGAACTCGACGCTGGAGAGCATCCTCAATGGTGTGCCTCTCATTTCATGGCCTCTGCATGGAGACCAGAAAATGGTGGCGGTGCAGTTGGTGGAGCATCTGAAGATTGCATTGAGGCCGATTGCGGGGGAAGACGGGTTGATCAGACGAGAAGAGATATCGAAAGTGGTAAGGGATTTGATGGTGGGAGAAGAAGGGTTAGCCGTGAGGAACAAGATGAATGTGTTGAAGGAAGCAGCGAAGAATGCCATGAGTGAAGAGGGATCTTCCACGAAATCGTTGGAACTTCTTGTGTCCCAATGGAAGAATCGGAGTGGAGAACCGAGCTTGGGTACTTAGAGAACTCAATTTGTTCTTCAAAATTCAACTTATTTTTGTTTTTGAGGAAGATGGTGGGTTGGGCTACAAATCTATGTGCATTGGGTTTGGTTGAAATAAATCAAGGGATGTGATTATGAACTTTTTTTCTTACGTTGTGCTGATATATCATGCTCGAGTTTGAGTTGTGAATGAACACCAACACATTCATTTAGGGGTGGGCATTGGTTTGACCAAACCGCTCCAAACCGCTCCAAACCGCTTGTGCGGTCAATCCAAACCGCACCATTAAGCTAGCGGTTTCATTTGCGGTTTAATCGATAAGCGGTTAGCGGTTTGGGTTGACCGAAACCGCACGATAGCGGTTCAAAACCGCAAACTGCTAATTCCTAATCTATCACCACGACTCGAGCAGATTTGCGGAGATCCAGATCCATCACCCATACGCATCTTCTCACCAGTCACCACACGGCGAGCTATCCTCACGGCGGCGGCAGCGGCAGATCCGACTTCTCTCGCTACCCGTTCTTCCGCCTTCGACCTTCTCCAGCATCTCGGTCTACCCTATTCTCGGAGTTATTGTGTTTACACAGTATCGGCGACGACGCTTTCTAGATCGGAGGCATCTCAATCTATCCTATTGTCGGAGCTACGGTGCTTTGGCGGATCGAAGGCCTCCCCGACTTCCCGCAGCCGGACGTCCAGTTTCTCAGCGGCTGGTACTCTCTCCCTCCCTCAACCTTAGCTCTCTTAGTTGTGTTACCGTCGCACCTCCGCCAAGAGGCGACCACCCACCGAGCCCTTTGCCCCTTCGTGGGTTTTATACTACGCATAGATACTAGATATTAGGTATGCTTGGTGGGTTTATTAGAGTCATTGGGTATGGATCTAGGGTTGTTGATCTAGGGTAGTCTAGAATCTCTTTACTCTTTTCTCCTGATTCGTCTTGAATGGTGTCTAGGGTAGTCTAGAAATCACACAGTAAACAAATTCCAAACGCCTTTCCAATTCAAAGTTCAGCAGTCTCTGGAATTACCACTCGCTCGTTGTCAACTATAAGGTCTGATGAACTACCATAGACACAAGATTTATCCTCACTGATGATTTTGCCCAACTGGTTATAATAAGTTTGAATGGGCGTGTTGGATTGATTCATTTGCTGCTCATTCCCCTGAAAAAATCGAAATTTCTCTCCATTCTAAATCATGGTATGAAAACAATGACATAAGGTGCTAGTGTAGGCTTAGAGCATGTGAGGAGGTGGCTACCCAGTTACTTACAGGTTTCCAATTAACCATTTCACTTAACAGTTCTGTCAAAGTTTCACTATTCTGAACTTTCTAGGCCGCTATATAACCTTATACAGCTGTAGTACAAATACTTGGGAAGTCGTTTTTGCTTCACAAACTCACAAATACTGGAAACATCAGTAGCAGAAAATGTTTATTTCATTTGTGAATTGCTTTATTATTTCATTTGGTTTATAGTTTTACCAATCACAATGTTCTAACTATTTTCTTTCATATGCTTGTAGGGCTGTAATGAATCTGTGAATTTGATATCAAGTAGTAGGGAAAAAGAAGATACTTTTATCGGCAAAAATGAAATCAAAAGGCTCTAAGGGAAAACGAGCTCAAGCACCGATATCTATCAACAATGTGCTTAGTTCCGATGTGAGTTCCTTTACTATGGTTAGCTACTGATCTGTACTTTTGTGTATGGTTCCAACCAAGCAGTAGGTTTTTGTTTCTTTCTTGTTATTTTCTATGGATGATACTTGCCAATATGCACTAGTGTTGAATCTCTTTCTGATGCTATAACTTTGGGGTGGATCTCCTTGATAGCTTTTGTATCTTTGAAATTGAGAATTCTGTTACTTCAGAGACTGGTTTTCCAATGTTTGTTTGCATGTTGGGAATTCTGTTTCTGATCTGATGCTATAACTGGATGCTCTAGTTTGGTTGCTGAACCATCTAAGATAGCTTAGAAAGTAACTGCAGTCCGAACTATTGAAGGCTGAAGCTACTGATCAACTAACACTAATTCTCCTTTTCTGCTTTTATGTCCTGTTTCCATTTACTCTGTTGAACCATGTAAGATATGCTTAGAAAGTAACTGCAGTTCAAACTATTGAAGGCTGAAGCTACTGATCAACTAACACTAATTCTCATTTTCTGCTTTTATGTCCTGTTTTCATTTACTCTGTTGAATCATGTAAGATATGCTCTAGTTTGGTTGCTTTTATGTCCTGTTTTCATTTACTCTGTTGTTGTTTAGGTCGAGTGTGATGATGCTGGAATGGATTCCTCAAGTGGGGAAGAGATGGAAATCGAAAATGATGCAAGTACGAGCAAGGTGGCTGCTAGTGATCATATTGGTTCAGCTTCGACTGATATTGAGTCACCAATGCCAAAAGGGAGGCGGCTTAGATCAAAAGTTTGGGTCCAATTCATGAGGTATAAGAAAGACGGCTTATTCAAGGCATCATGCATCAAATGCGGGAAGACTTATGCATCTAAATCACCCAGAAATGGAACTAGTGCACTCCGCAATCATATGAGTAAACCGTGCGGTGATGGAAAAGGTAAGGCTCAACAACTATTGAATACTATTAGAGGTGAGTTAGATGAGGGGGATGGATCTGTGTTAGGGGGTTGGAAGTTTGATCAAGCAGCTATAAGGAAAGAATTGGCTTATATGATCATTGTGGATGGCTTGTTAGTTGGGAAGTTCCAACACTTGCTAGTGTAGTTTTCGAGAATGATAACTCTGGTAGTTTGTTTAAGGCCTTCAATCATGTTGTTGTTCCTTCGCCGCATGTTTGATGCTCAAGTATTGGTTTCTGTTGACTGATGTTAAGGATTGTTCATGATTCTAACAAAAGATTGACATTGATGTGGTTATTATAAGCTCAAAGTTCTGCACTTTTCATGACAGCTAGCTAAATACACTTTTCATTGGGTCTCTGGATTTTGGAATCAACCCAAAGCATGCTGGATTTTGATTGCCATTGAAATTTGAAACTGAGATAAAATTGATGGGGTGGTCTGCTGCTCATTATGCACTGTGGCAACTGGACCACGTCCAGCAAAAATTGGTCCTCTTTTTTTTCCCCCACTGTACAATACAGCAAACTGTACAATGAAGTTCTTGTAGATTCGGCAGGCTGTCCACATTAACTCATTCAACTTCTTTCTTGATTGCATTGCATGATATGTTTTGGTGGCAGGAAACTGAGTAATTTTTATTTAATTATGTACAAACCATAATGAATTGCGGTCAAGATGCGGTGCGGTTTAAACCGTATCAAACCGTTAATTTATGCGGTTTGGTTTGACCGCACCGATAACTTAGCGGTCGAAATGCGGTGCGGTTTATATCAATGCGGTGCGGTGCGGTTTATATCATTGCGGTGCGATGCGGTCCGAACCGCACCGATACCCACCCCTAGATTTTATTGTAGGTGGTGGCGTAAATGTAGCGAGTGGAAACCCCAACGGAGAGCATCGGGCAGCCTTTGCACTTTGCTTGTGTCTTGCTTCGATTGCACAAACTTCCAGTCCATTCATCCAAAGCTGCAAAGGATCAAGAAATCGCAGCAGGCAGGGGAATGACCTGCCAATGGTTTAGCTCACGCGACAGAGCCATGAATGATGAGTGTTTCGTCACCCACTGCAAATCTGCAATGCCTAGAGGATCCAGGTTCTAAACTCGATCCAAACAAAAATCATGTATCCATAGCTGAGATTTCTTATCGGACATCTGGGGAAGCACAGCCACGGAGAGATTTTTAGAAAACGTAACATGGAAACTCCGGGAATGCAGCTGCTCGGCCTCGGCTGTTGTGTAGCTGAAAATGTTAAATGGACGAAAACCCACGTGTCTCCGTATAGATTCTACGAGAGGTATGTTGGGAAAGGATTGTCTAATGCAATTAGGAAACCAGGGTCGCGTTTATCGCGTACCGTTCTGTGTTAGAAACTTTTTTCTTGAGTTCCTAATAAACGGTGTTTGTGTAATTGAGAATTGATGGATGGTAATTGGGGATTTAGAATGGAATCGGGGATTAGAAGAAGAATTAGGGATTTGAGGACTATGGAAATTTGGGGACGAACGGTCTAAGCCTTTGGAGAAGAAGGATAGACGAGATTGAGAGAGAATAGAATAGGGTTGGGGGTAATATCTTCTATTAATTGGTGCATAATCGTAATTGAATGGATGAATACATATTTATAGGAAATACTTGAATAAACCTGATAATAAACCCAAACTTAACTCCCAGTTATTGATATTCCTAATAATTATCTACCATAAACAATAAGAGAATCCTACAAAAGTTGAGTTTCTAACAATCTACCCCCATAAAGCGACCTTGTTCTCAAAGTCGTAGTCAACTTCGCCTTCTTGACCTTTCGCTTTCTTCGTTTTCATTTGTGCTCAAGCTCACGATTAAATTATGCTTTAGCAACTCCAATGTCTCTCGATGCTTCTCTAGCCAAGTGATACATGTCACGTCCTCCATAGCCAAACAATTGTTCCTTTTCTTTTTCAAAGTCCACAGAATTAAAGTCGAATAACTGTTCTTCCTAATGCCCTGCATCATTGGCTACCTTAAAATTTTAATGCATTTCTCCATAAATTTTGCTATGTGCTCGATAAATTTTAATGCCCGACCTCCGCAAATCGGCTAGTTGACCTCAACCCAAATCCATACAAGAGATGATCAGTTAGCCCACCAATAGGCGACCTAGACCAAACTCGAGCCCCTTTTCTTTCCACTGGGCCAAGCATTAGCTCGTCTGGTCCGGTCATTCGACCCACAAGGTGGCCTGTCTCCACAAGCTGCTGTGCAGCGCTCCTCAACTCGAGCAGCTAAGGGTTCTTGAGGACGACGACACCGCTGCCGCCACCCTCTGTCCTCTCAGTCCTCGGCGGCAGTCAGACCAACAATTGACTCCATGTTTGGGTCTAATTGCACATGTTTTCATCCCATGTTCTTGTAGTGTTTGAGGCGTTTACAT